ATATCCTCGCAGATAAGAACTGGTTCTTGTCCCTCTCGGGGACAGGTACTAACATCCGGGTGATGGCGGAACACCTTGCATCGAGCTTGCTGAAGCCCGGCGCCGATTTCTATCGACACTCGGAAATTGGCGCTTTTGAGAATGCTGATATCCAAGCCAGATATATCAAGAAGTTTGCACCACCCGGGTTACATAACAAGCTCTCAGATTTCCTGGGGCGCGTCTTTGTGTGGACAAGGGGAAGGCATGTGATGATCCTACCATGTCCCATTACTTTTTCTTACCATCGTGACTCTTAGATTCCGCCTCACTGCTACCTTGGTGGAACTTTTGATAGTAACCGGATTTAAGTGCCCACACACGGTGCTAAATCGGTACATAAAGGTGTTATGTGGTGACGACTTCGAACCAGGAGACGCGAATGACTTCATCGGGCTGGAGCCGCCGTTGCCTGATTCAGGTATTTGGAAGATTCTCAACGTACTCGACGTACTCGATGTTGGGCGTCTGGCCAAATTAAGTACGCCTTTTCTATCTCGCCATGATCCGGATCCTGACCATCTGTAGAACAATTTGAGGATGTCCTCAAACCGAATCTGGCAGACTATGTGCTGACAGGAAAGCCTCTACCCGTGCTCTCAGCGAAAGATTCCATGTTAGTCGAGTTGGGCGTCTCTCGATTTACGGGGTCAAGCGAGGATGTGAAGACGGACGAGCCACTTATCTTGACTGCTATCATGGCTTGGCTGGAGCGCACCGAGAAAGATTATCTACACAAACACATTATGAAGGGCGCATTCACAACATCACCAGACCACAATCCATCAGAAGGATTCTGTTCTTATGCCTTGATGCAGGCTCTTGGGGGCGGACGCACGCTCAGCGACGTTTTAGACTTCTATTTCCCGAAGTCGACGCCTATTCCGGAATGGATCTTCCAGAAGGCTAGGGTTGTCACTCCTTGTTATTACGACCATATCAAAAAGATCTACCAGACCGCCCCTTATTCTTTCCAATCCAGGAATTACCCTCAGGTAGGGTTCTACGTCGAGAGTGCCACACAATTTCAGCAATGGCTCAATTTCAAGGGGCCGCCACATGCATTCTGTTACCCAATTCCGAGAGCTGGACCTGACTTGGCCTGTCTGGTGGAGTTGGAAAACGGTGAAAAGGTATGGTTTCTGGGACAGACAAAAGTTCAACGGGGCGTCTGGATGATTACTAAAGAAGATCTCGTCCATGCAGCTCGTTCAGTCATACCGGCGAACGTCTATATAAATGCTGAAGTGAGTTACCATTACGATCACCTTTGAAGGCCTCTATCATATTGATCGTCGTCTCAGCGAACACCGTCGTATGGGCCACCCCAAGCGAATCAGCAGTTCCTGACGACACTGGATACACTCGAAAACAATGTTGACAAGTTTTTGCCATCAACATCCGCGGCACATCATGCGATTGGCGTACTTTTCATCTATCCAGCGTTGCATGAGATTCGGCGGCTGGAAGTGTCTAGGTGGAGTGCGACCACCACACCTATTGCCGCAGTCAATTGGGATAAAGTCGGTCCGATTTTGGACAACATGTTGCCACAGGGATATTGGACCCAGCTTGTCAAGAACTCTGCCGCCCTCCTTTCGGAGACACTCCGTCAGCGGGCCGAGGACGCCGAGATCGACTACGATTCAACCTTTCTGATCCTGCAGAAGGATGTCATAACTGAAGAAACATGGACGGTGCCGATGATGAAAATTCAGCTCGAACTCCATCGACGAATAGAAAATTTGCTTCCCCCGGAGCAACGCAAATTACCCACACTTGCCGGAAAGAATAAAGAGGCTTTACTTGCTGTTCTCAAGGAGGCTATCGACCGATATGTACAACGTACCGCCAGAAGGAGCTGATGCAGCATGTTACATAGATCTTTCAGAAGCTTCTGAACACGGCAATTATGTTCCGTTCTGTGATGTTGTTTCGCTACAAAATGTACTACTGTTCGTTGAATGACATCAAGCTAAAGCCTGCAAATGACTTCCAAGTTTACCCGGCCCCTTGCTCATCGCTGAGATGGTTCGCCTCAGTGATGAGTCGGTCGTGGCTCATCATCCTCTCGTTGAACGAACTTCTCCGTTCGGATACTGGCTAGCAATTGTAATCAGGCAGCGGCCTCAAACCGTAAATCGGCGAGTACTTAGTTTCAGATCGTGGATTATAGCCTAGTATATGGAGAATGTGGATGATGGATGGGGATGAGAGGTATTTATTTGTGCCATATAAAAAAGTTTAGCTGAGTGCTAGATGGTTCGAACTTTGTATAGGTTAGGTTGCGGTTTGAGAGCAGCAAGCAACGAGGAAACACGTGCTAGTTACCAGTGAGTTTGGTCTAAATGGATTTCCATAGTCCATGTGGTGGCCTCAGTTAAGCACTAGTAATGAAGTTACCGTCGTTATTTTTTGAAATAATATCAACATGGCACCTCCTACTCAAGTCGGTCGTGGCAAGAAGTATCCACCAGTTCGAAAAGTACAAGTGTCTTCACCGAATAGAGGATGTCATCGGTCCTATTAGTATATGTAAATCCATCAGTCCAAGATTAGTATTCAAGAAAATCAACGCACTATTCTTAACTTCGTAATGCAAGCACCCATCCCTATTCATTTCGGGCAGGCCTTCATGCTGCAAGAAACTTTGAAAATGTTCTTGGAGATCACCGGGCCTTTCGGACCACTCATGGTAACAGTAGTCTTCGACACCAGGATCTCCGATGTTATAATCAACATGTATCTCGAGTCGCACGGAAATTTTCCATGGATGGTTAGCAAGAATACGATCTAGCTCTTGCCAATCCGATCGAAAATGAGGCAAAAGGAAGGCATCGTATGGACAAAAAACGACCTCAAGAACGATGTCTTCCACGGACGAAGGGAGCCTCTTGAAGAACGGGTGCGCCCATGAAAAAGGCCCTCGCCAATGAGATGGAATCTTATCAATGGAAGTCCAATCACTATCAAAGTAGAGGCTGGTGCAGATGCTGCGAAGTTGGCTCAGGGGCCTTAAATCTATGAGGTCTATGAAGGGATATGACATTAGTGAATGAGCCAAAAGAAGACGCAACTTACGAGATTCACGACATTCTGTAATCGGAAGGAGTAGTGTTAAAACCTGCAAAGAGGAGCTGGCCGAGGAGAGTATAGACGAGGTGGCTTTAACGTCCTGGTCGGAGTTTGTGTAGACGGTGAGAACGCGGAGATTCGCCATGGATACTGTGGACTGTGGGGAGAGCAGAGCTTCTATGACGGGCCCATCCAGATTGAGTTCTAATGTGGAAGGGAAACAACTTTGACGGTTTGGAACCAAATGAGTTGTGGCATTGGTGTCATCGATGCGAACTGCATTCATAGTGATGTCCTCAAGGTGATTAAAGCTGGCCAGCAGGGAATATAGTTGAGAGGTGGTGTCAAACCTTATCTTTTTCAAGATAAGAGTTCGAACACTAGATATCGAATGAGGCGAAGGAAACGAGTCAGCGTTGAGTATGGAAATGTTTCCCCGTGCCAAGTGTATGGAGAGCCTTTGGAGATTAGGGAGGAGCTGCAGTAGCGAAGGAAAGATGCCGGTGCCGCTCTCTTTGGGAGACCAAACGAAGTTCAATATGAGAGAACGAATCGATGCTGCCATATGCTTTGACGCAACGAGGACTTTTCGGAGCTCAAGGCAGATATCCGTTGGAGGTCCACAAGAATCCCAGACCCTTATTTTTGCAAAAAGGAGCCTGTTGCTCGGAAGAAGAAAGGAGGGATGGGTCAATGAGCAGGCCTTGAGCGAGGGGAAATCGAAGCGGAGATGGCTTAATATTTCTTCCAGTATATCTTGAGGGAGCCTGAGGGCCATGGTCGGACACATCAAGGTGCGAGTCAGATAAAAAGATGTACTACCTCCACCGGCCGCAGGGGTACCGGTGTGGATCCAGGATGCGGTAGTCCGGTGGATTGATCGATTTGATCCTCTGCAACCACAGATGCAGTGTCCGGACACGGAACTAACAGACATAACCAGTGAGTCGTTACGACGCAGTCTAAGAACGCTATAAGGAAGTTGCGGCTATGCACGAAATTCATAACAGCTTTGCACATTCCTCCTTTACCTCTTCAACAATGCTACGAAACTTTTCCTCCCCCTCGGCATCTAGGACGTCATAGTCCCACCTCTTCTCTGGCGCAGTGTCGCTCACCCTCGTAGGATGGCGAGAAATAGCGAGTTGCTCGATCTCCGCCTCCTCGTCTGTGGTGTCTCGTTGATAAAAGCAAAGTCGTGTCTCGATAGCACAAACTGCGTGCAACCTTGGTATGGGACAATAGGCTGTATAGTTTGATGATATCTATTCAATAAAATTTAAGGAACAACACGACTTACCACATCAATCGCTAATGCGCCGCCTGATTTGGTTGTCAGCCTCACCACGCGATGAGACAATCTCAAAGCCTCCGGATTTTTCAGCGCCAAGATGAACACGAGCTGGTTCGCGAGCGTGATTTCGAACGTCAGTATCCGGTCGGATGAGTCCCGAGAGCCAGGTTGCAAATACTGCGGGACTACAGCGTAGGGACTGTCAATTGGGAAAAGGTAATTGAGGAGCTTGTTGTAGGGCCCATGAAGATCGTTTTCAGCAGGATTAGGTCGAACGGACTGAAATGGGCGGAGTATAGGGTCTGGCCAGGTCATGGTTGGTGTTTGAGGACATGTTCCAACGCCTTAATTGATCGAATTTAAACTACATTCACACGTGAAGAGCAAATTGCTTCGAAGCCGGTCGCTGGAACTGTCTCGAGGAATAAGAACGCGCTTATACCCGCTGCGGATCTGAAGGCTAGAAGTTAAAGGAAGAATGGACTGAGCAGTGAGGACACTTGCAAGTTCAAAGTCGTAACTTATGAGTCTCGAGTCTCGACTCTCCGACTCGTGACTCGTGACTCGTGACTTGAGCCTTTAGTCGCAAAAAAGACCCCAGCGTGACTCGAACACGCGACCCCGAGATTGTTGCGCAGCCACCCGCCCACATGGGGACCACTGCAATCTCATGCTATAACCACTTAGCTATGGAGTCATGTGCAAATAATATTGTGTCACATTCAGATCCACTCTCTAGTCTTATCACCTTTCATTACCATTTGTCAAACCGTCTCTTTGATTCCTATCCGCCACGACCTTCAGCTATGGAAGGCTGGTCAAAACGATACGTTGACCCGCGCAAAGTCGCCAAATCATACAGACCCAAAGCTGGGGTACGTTCCTTCTCTCAGCTTGTATCTCCAGTTCCTCAACGTTCGAACACAGGCCATGTCCCCCGGGCTGAAACGCGCGCGCGAACCCTTTCGTATACCCAACGCTCTGACGGGATTTGTTTTGGGTGCATTCGCCGTGGGGGTATACTCGTATTCGATATACGCTGTGAAACAAGACGAGTTCGAAGACCTCGACGATGAAGTCAAGTCGCGCGCGACATCACTGGCGAGGGTGAATGCTGGGCATCTAACAGAGGAAGAGGAGAAAGGGCTCATGGATGCTGCGATTACAAAAGTTGCTACGGGGAAAAAGTAGAACAGATGTGGCGATTGGGTGCATGGCGGAAAATCATACAGTGTGTTTATAATCACGTTAATGCTCTTACTTTTTTCTCTTCAGTGATTTCCTGGTCCATGAATTAATCCGGATGAAGGGGTATCTCAAATGCGGTACGTATATCTAATCGACACCTAACCTAGCCCCCAAACCCCTGCTTTCCGAACACCTTCAACCAACGCATCGACATTCCCCAGCATCGTACCGAGGATTTCCTTCTTTTCCTCGGTCGTCCGAACCTTTTCTACAACCCCCATCGTCTTAGAGCTCGTGTCAAGAACAAAGGCTGATCCCAATCGGGATCTTGTACTTGATTGAGACGCACTTTTCCCAGGCTGAGGTCGCAAGAGGCTCGTGTTTGCAACAGAGCTCGCTGTGGACCTATGCGGGCTCTCAGGCACGAAATCGAGGTCCCGCTGCAACATGTGCAGAGACTTCGGCGGCCTGAACACTGGCGAAGGGGCGTTGGCCAGCGGCTTTGGTATAGGCAAAGGGTCTGCCGTCGTCTTTGTTGGAGATGACTGTACAGAAGACGCGGCAGTCGAGGCTGAGGCAACAGACGACGTTGATGAAAACGATTTAGCAGAGCTGGCCGACGTCGACCGGGACGTTTGACCTGAAGAGAAGGTGCTGGAGCTCGCAGAGAGGGTTTTGCTTCCAGAGCTCGCTGTGAACCCAGATGGAGAGGTAGATACCGCACTCCCAGAGCCAGATGAGAAGGAGTAAGTGGAGGAGCCATAACGCGATATTGGACGCGTTGGCGTCACGTTAATATAAGGTTTTTTCGGTCGCAAGGACGTCGAAGCAACAGGTGTCGCCGGAGCAGTGGTGATGAACGGCACTAATGTTGGATGCTTCAAAGCATCATTCTCTGCAGAAGGACTCTCGTCGAGTAAGTAAAAGTATAAGAATTCCAAGCATTTCATTCTAATGTTCAAATGTCAAATACTTGCCACCGACCACGCGGAGATGACATACCTAACTTCACGAGGAGTCCCAGCGCGTTTGAGGATTTTGACGATAGCCTGGACTCCATTGCACTCTTCAAACGAGCGCAGAGCAGCAGAAGAGTCGACTAGTATGCAAAGGAGAGCATCCATGACAATGGAAGACAGTGGCGCCTGCGATTCTCGGGTTTTAAGAAAAGAACCGGATGGGTTTGGATCAGATGGACAAGGCGCATGGCGCGAAGTCAAGAGTAGATCAATGAGTGTCTTTCAATGCCTGTCAGATTTAATTGCCATCAAACTCTTCAGTGGCGACACACCTCCACGGGGTATTTCCGTCCAAGATACGTTTTGCTGGCGGGGTGCAACATGACAATGCCTTGAATAAGAGACAAGGAAAGTGAGAGCTGGTCCAAGAGCTGTGATATTTGGACGCTATCACTATCTGTTCTTGTCATCAGTAACGAACTTATTAAGACGATAGAAATGCCGGACCTTCAGGTGCTCCCCTATTTAAGAGATTTTGAAGTTTAGCTGAAACTTCTGCTATCCATGGCATTAATCGGAGTGGTACTGTATACAGATCAGCCGATAAGAAGGAAACAGACCAACACGATACCCACTATTACACTCAAAAGTGTGCTGTAAAGTCACGAAAAAGTCGAGGATTTCTGATTCCTTCTGAACACAGATCGACAGTTGACACTCTAGGCGCTGCAGGGCCGTCGTTTTACTCGGAGAAGCTGTACGAGGGGACAAAATCTATCAAACTCACAAGTCAGCAAGTCGCCATTGGAGCAGAAAGGGAGCACTTGCATCGTCCAAAGAGTCTTGTATAAGGGTTCGTATGTTTGTCAACTGATCATCCATATTTCATGAGGTCGAATGTGGAGGTTGAGTGCGGATTTGATAAGTTGAAATTTGTCCGAAAGCGCTGCCTTTGTGGACGTCTATTTGTTGACTTCTCTAATTCAGGGTTTCGCGTCTGTACCACGTGACGTAAATAGGGTTAGGGTCAGAATCCCGTATTTTCCTGGGTTTCAAAATTAGAAATTCTGTCTCAAAGTACCACAATGGCCAGCCTCGTCCGGAGCGTTTTGGCTAACCAGTCACGCTCACTTCGAGGACTGGGTGTCAGGCCGTCGCTTGCCTTGTCAAGGACTGCTCTGCGAGCTCACAGGTTAGCTGGTTTTGCGACTGCGAGTGAAGACGGGGAGGCAGAGATCCCACAGCCGAACGACGGTCCAGTACCCTTTGGTGGCGAGAAGGAAGGCCACACTGATTGGTCCAAGAGTTACTATGGTCTTTCGCAGCAGGCTTTCCCTAAAGAGGCTGCCGATATCCTCCTCGCGCCTGTGGATCCTCTCGATATTGAATGCAAGCCAGGTGACTTGTTTTTTGTTCTTTGTTGCGCGCCTGCTCATCCACATCCCAACAGATGGTCTTATTTACCTGCCTGAAATCAAATACCGGCGTATTCTGAATAGAGCGTTCGGTCCTGGTGCATGGGGTTTGGCACCTCGTTCTGAAACTAATGTCAGTGCGAAAATTGTCAGCCGAGAATACGCTCTTGTGTGCCAAGGACGGTGCGTACATGCGTCTTCTACTGGGGGTAAGCTTTTATCAACATTTCATTCAGTCTTGTCGCCATCGCTAGAGGCGAGCAGGAGTACTTCGACGTCAATGGAGTCCCCACGGCTACCGAAGCGTGCAAGAGCAATGCCTTGATGCGCTGCTGCAAGGATCTGGGAATTGCTAGCGAACTTTGGTGCGCTTTTTACGATTAGATATACTCAACTCTAACGCTGCTCAGGGATCCTCGATTCATTCGTGAATTCAAAGCCAAGTATTGTGTCGAAGTGTTTGCTGAGCATCTCCCTACTAAGAAAAAGTCAGTACTGTGCACACTTGTTTCGTGGGCAATTTCTAAGCCATCCCATTATCTATAGGAAGAAGTTGTGGCGGCGCAGGGATGCCCCCAAGCTAGCTTACCCGTACCAAGAGTAAACGTATAGCCAGTTCTTTGTACCATCTTTCAGGCATGCATTGCAATGCTACCATGTCTCTTGCACCCCACTCCATATGCATAATTTACGTACTTGCGTCCATGTAAATAATAAGAACAAATCGCGTTAGATCATCTTGAGTACTACTTGCAGTCACGCTTTGTCCGGTGACCACCACCATACTTTCGTTCTTATCTTCTAACGATGTGGTCAGTGCCCTTTGCCCAGTGCGCACCTACTGTCTTACACATCTCGTCGTCAGCAAACACGTTCTAAACGCTCAAGTTTCCATCCGAGCGCCCTGCTGCAAGAAATGGTTCGACTGTGCCGAGTGCCACGCCGAATCCGAGACTCATCCACTGGTGCGGACGACCGAGATGGCATTTATATGCAAAAAATGCAAGAAGGCTTTCCGTAAGGACATGGCGAATTACGAGGAGAGCGACGAGTTCTGTCCGCATTGTGATAACCATTATGTACGTTTGCATTTCATGGAGTATGTGCTGGCTGATTGGGAGTAGGTTATCGAAGCAAAGACACCGCAAGCTATCGTCGGTGTAGAGGGTGACGATGCTAGGGTGGATGCTAGGTACGCTTGTTTTGATATTTCGCTGGCGCTACCTCTGACTTTGAAATCAGAATGCTCAAAGACGATCGGGTGAAGGAGACTAAGAAACGGACCATCTTTTCACGGGATGACTTCGAGGATCGGCTGGGATGAGCGTGGATAACGACTTTACTGTTGTTTGAGAGTTAATTCATTCTAGATTGTAGCTGCCGCCGTCACTATTCTGGCAAGGATCTTGTGCATCGTGCTCGCTAATGCCGCGTTGGACATCCCCGACCATGTATGTCACCAATACGCTCCAATTGTTTACTCTCGTCGTAAGAGGCTTTCCAACCATTCCTCAGAGTATTTTTCGTTGGCTATCAGTTCTCTGAAGCTGACATACTTTCCTTTGCGCTCTCTTGATACTTTCGGCGGGCGCGCTCACTAAGTAGCTCTAGACTCTTCGTCTTATGAGACGACCGACAAAGCTTTTGTCTGCAGGCATCGAGGAATTATAACGTTAAGAAATAATTATGGTATAGTCTCCCAATGGTAGCAGATTTTACTCGCTCGCAATTGCATCAGTGGCTAAATTTGCGTGAAGGTAATGGTGGCGGCAATGAACCAGAAATTCGTGAAATGGCACTCCTAAGTGAGGAACGTGAACGGTAAGAGGGTGGTGGGGATACAATGTGCATAAACTCCATCTGCTCATCCATGTACCTCACACGATTTGTCTGGGACAAAACCTCTTGTCGTAACCGCGCGATCTCTTCTTCATATGCCATTCGAGAAGAATCAGACATTCTCGTCGAGAGGGGATCCACTAGTAGGTGAGGTGACTCCGGTACAAGTCTGTTCTGCGCCGAGGGATATGATGATGACCCTACGTGATGTTCACTATCGGAGGGATTGGTTATATCAACAGAAGGAGTCTGCAAATACGTAGTCGCCGGGCCCACTTCGGTGTCAGACTCAAAGG